CAGGAATCCAGCTCAGGGAGCACAGCTGCATTGCCTACATCTCTGCTTTCCCAGCCCAGGCACTGTGTCCTGCTCGAGGATCTCAAGGGCTGGTTTCACCTTGCTGGTGTATTCTGGAATGGCTCAGGGACACAGCACAAGTTTGAGGCTACTGTACTGCTCTGGGAGTCAAGTGTCTCATACTGTCTCAGTTCTGGCTTCAGCACTGCACAAAAATTCAACAGCTCTGCAGCCCTGTTTCTATACTAGCCCTAGTTTTTGTAACCATGTAGTTGGATGAGACAGTTCTTTTAAGATGGCATGCCAGTGGGTGGTATGTGTGCTGGACGAATTCTCCCTGGCTTTGGGCATGAAGGTTTGGACTTGAGCCAGTAATTCCAGACCTTTTCATCTTACAGTTTTAAATTTCTAGTGGCTTGAGTGATGTAAGAACTAACTCACTGAATAAAACTAGCTGCCTTTTGTGAGTAATTTAGGTTTCTAATGCTTGAACAAAGTGAGAGACTGAGTTCTAGAAGACAGGGATTCATTTCCCCAACACTAATGAGTGTACAATCAGTATTAGTGCCAGTGTTATCTACAGTCATGTACATGCATGTAGACATATCAAGCTACCCCTGACATTAAGCATTAAAATAGAAGTCCTAATGTGTGGAGTAAGTTTATAGTAGTATTTATATAGTTTTTACTCAGCTGTACCATCTGAGGTGCAAATAGCATTTAGTTTTTGTTTTCTGAAAGTTAAGACTGGATGTTTTCTACATGAAAATGTGAACTTGGATTTTATGATTATTTTTTCAGATGGAAAAGGAACAGAAACAGGGCACAGAAAATGTTCCAGCCCCTTCTCCTTCACTGCCTCCCAAGATTACTCTGAAGAGAGACCAACCATTAGCTTATACAGCAACAGAGGATACATTTAAAGACACCGCCAATCTGGTTAAAGAGGACTCTGTGGTATAACTAGGTAACTGATTTAGGGAAAATTAGATACATCCATTTGCACATATATTTTTTATAAACAGAAGATTAAGTTTCACATTCAAATGCTTTATAAAAATATATACATCTCTTAGCTAATGGCTGGAGAGGTATGTTGAAACTATGCCTTGTTTTTTGACAAATGCCAATTGCTATTTTTATGAACAATTATCACAATGTACTATATGTATATCTTTGCACTGAAGCTGTCTGAAAGTAATGTTATAAATACATTGTACATTTGTAAATTTTTGAAAGATGATCTTGTTTGGTGATGTTGCTTGTAGAAATCTGTATGGAATTAGTTGTATCTTTAGGGATAAATTCATTATATAAATGCTTAAACTAAAAAAGAACCAAACAAGGTGAATTTAGGAACATTACTGATTTACAGGATCTTTGGGGTATATAACAGCACCTTTAAAAAATATTACTGGTGCTCTGGGCATCTTTACCATCAATTTTATATATTACTGTATGTAAAAATGGGTGTTTCTATTTATCTTGTGTTAAACAAAAGAAGAATCAATGCAGCATCAGTATGCTGAATAAGTCACTGGTGCAAAATGCTGTTCTTACAATATTTTAACCACCTGAGATAAAATAATTTCCTCTCAATCCATAAGAGACAGTTTTTTCTCTAGGTTCCAATTAATGCCATTCCATTAAGAGTGTTCTTAAAAATTATCTGATATATTTAGATTTTAGTGCCACACATACTTAATGAGATTTTCTCCTTCTCATCAATGGAATAGCCCTATTCTTGGCTAGACTCTCTGGAAGTAATTTGTACTATTAAGTGAGAAGTAGATAGATTTCTATACCAGCTTATTTCCAAACAGCAAAATACAAAAGATAATGGTTCATTTAAGAAATTATTCAGGTTTTTTAATGTGAAAATTTAATTTTATTGACTATTTATTTCCTGAGGTGGACATTAATAGAAAGGGAAACAATTTCTACTAATGCTGTCTTTGTAGTTATCTGGTTATTTCTGTAACCTTCCATCAGAATATACTGTACATCTTAGCAGCTTTTCTATTGATTAGCCAAGGTAGTTTCCACAACATGAACCATTTGAGTTCCACTCTTGAGTACCACTGCAGGAACATGTTATTCAGCATTCCTGGCTAGCTACTCATATAATTGAAATACTCCTAAAATTATAATCACTGAGACTTTTGCTATTTGATTGTTTTATATCTGAGTTCTCAAAATATATACTGTTTCTGATTAGAATGCTTATAATTGCTTTGTAATGTACTTTGATTAGAAAAGACAACTGGAAATTGATGCTGCTGAATAAATCTAATAAATGTATTATTTTATCACATACTTATCCATAAATCGTGTTAAGGCTCTATGTACTTTTTTCATTTGTGCAGATTTCTATACATTCTGAGATGAAAACAACAGTGCTTTAGATAAAAGGCAAATGAGAATAGTGCTTACTGCCTTCACACAACTGGCTAAAGCTCTTGATACAACATCACTGTCATTGTATCACTCTAAGCATTAAAACTGCCCCATTACACAAACTGGCCCTTGAAATAGAAAACTCTTACTATTGCTTGTAAGAGACTGACTATCAAGATATTATGGCATAAGTGATTAAAACCTTAGTTTGATTAACTTTCATAGCTGAACATTTTTAATGTGGAAAATTCCTTAGAATCTGAGGCACAGCATATCCACCTGTAAGGCTATGAGAGGTGATTTCTTTGAAAGGCAAGTTGCTCTTCTTGAGGAAAGAGTTCACAATGATTTTTAAAGACAGAAGGCAGGGCTTGCATTTCCACAGGACTGGCCTCCAGTTTCATACCACAAGAAAGAGCAGCATCAGTTTTGTCAACAGTCTTCATCAACAGAAAGGTTTGGAACCAGTTTTGAAGAAAGCTGCTAATATGTCAGTCACTTATCAGAGGTTGTTTGTTGTTTGTTTTTCCCCAGAAGAATGTAAAGTTTTCAGATGTGGCAGAAAACCACCCCTGGAATACTGTACAGATAGGTAGTATGTAGACTGGATTGTTTAACATACCTGATGGTGAAGGATTCCTAAGTTTCAACTGGGCCTCTTCCTCTCAGCATACCACAATGTACGCTTCTGATTATGTGAAATTTAATTTTTAGTACTTCATTCAACAGAAGCTTTAGCTTTTCTCTCTCAGTAAATTTTTCACTTGTATTCTTTTTCCCATATGAGAACAGTCCCTTCTTGTATTGTTTAATTCTGAACTCATTCTTTTTCAGAGAAGGCTGAGTTTTAGAGATTGCAGCACGTCTCTGAAATCTGTCAGGCCAGATAGAGAGAACTACAACCCTGCAAGTATTTAAAATGAAATAAAGTAAAAAAAAATAATTATTGAAATCGCTTCCCATACAACAGAAATGCTGAAAGGTTACTGAATGTTTTTTACTTTCTGTCCCTCTCCTGCACACACACACGCGCACACCGGAGTGATGAAACTCCTTTTCTTACATTTGGAGTTCTGACCTGCACATGGTATTTTTGTAAACTTAATTGAATAACACATTAATGATTAATCACCAGCGCAGCTCTTTAGCAAATAAAACCTTTACCCCTTCAATTTTAGTATCTCTAAGAACACCAGTTTGTAAGCCTCTGGCCAGCAGCTATCTAACAGATAGAAACAGTGTACAAGAGGCACAGTAACCTCAACTAATATGTTACCATTCTGAACATACTGTTTGTACAGTCAAACTAGTTTGCTATAGCATACATTAATGATCTTTTTCATGTAATGAGTGAAATAGTAATCCTTTTAAGTGGCAAAGTATACTGAGGATGAAAAAAATGTGAACGCATATTATTTTTAATATTTTCCTCACAAACTATACTAATATAAGAATACAAGTTTGGATACTCCATATGGATAGTATCAGAGTACAATGCAGTTTTGATTTTCCCTGTAATTTGTACCTTGTGTTTTATCGCTGCATAGTTGAATAGTCAGGTGATTCAATGTGGTCAAATACTCCAATTGTAATTTTTTTAATATGTTGTAATAGCTGGGCTTTGTTATTCTTTGATTTGATGTCTTCCATTCAAAAGCTTGTGAAGTTTAGCAATTCCTGAATATGACCATGAGAAAATCCCCCATGAAGTAGATGATTAAATCTGACTAAATACATTCTGTAAGGTACATGTATGAAATACATTTCAGAACATTTCTGAAAGGCCATTGTTTTATTACAAGTTCACTAGCAGCCTGTATGTTAAGTCTACTTGAAAAACTGATTCCTCTAGTGATTTTATGTTTCTTATCTGAAGATGTTTTATTGGGTGAGTAGTATTAACCAGCTTGTAGCTGAATATTTTAGGAATGCAGATCATATAGAGGTATTACTTCTGAGAATAAAAAATGACCTTCAAAAATATGCTGGATTTACAAGCCTATCTGCAAACTCAGAAATTCCAGGTAAGGAGGGAAGTGGGATGGGCATTAGAGAGTGTCTTCCGAAAGGAATGTAAGAAGTCTAATAACTGGTAAGGAAGAGGACAACTAGTTTTGACAGGATTAATATTTATTTCCACAGACCTGATAGTGGTTTAATACTAAATGTTAATTATAACTCCAGGAACTGATCTCCCACTAGCTGCTGGAGCTGGAAGCATCATATGCAGCAGCATGCCAGACAAACAGCTTGGGGCATAGGAGAGAAACAGCCAAAAGAACTTTGCGTCCCATCCAGCTCCATATCGTGTCCTGGGGTACTTTGCTGTCAGGGCATGTTCCATGCATTTTATGACCTTAGTAATATCAGAGTCACACAATCTTTTCACTAATGATCTTTGAGCTTTTATATCTGCAAAGAAGAAAATAAATCTGAAAGCATTTATGTCCAATATTCTCTGAGAGTATTATTCATATTCAAGGATTTGCCACCGGCTTTAGGCCTGCGTTTAACTACTGGCTCAAGAACTGACAGCAGTACAGCTACAGCAGAGCAGAGACCAGAAAGGCTGCAGAACATGCAGGAGAAACAGAAATCTCTGTGGCCCATATTGTGAGCTGTATGTTCCTACAGTAAGTGCAGCTTGACACAGCACAACTTTTCAGATATCAGTAATCCATAAACTTAGCATATGTTCATAGTGATTAATTCCTCCTGGGCATTCTATCTCTTAAGTATGAGGGCACTAAAGATGCTAGCATAACATCACATCTCACCAGTGTCCTCTGAGAACTCATAGTACAGGCCTCATCTGATATGCATAATCAGCAATAAGTTCTTAATGAACGTTAATGAAATCCAGCAAATGTTCACAAAATCATAGATCAGTAGAGGTTGGGAGGACGCTCTGGTCCATCTGGTCAAACCTAGACCAGCTTGTCGAAAACTTTGTCAAGACATCTTTTGGATATCTGCAAGGATGGAGACTCCACACCCTCCCTGGGAAACCTGTGCCAGTGCTCAGTCACTCTCAAGAGTAAAAAATGTTTCCTGATTTCAGCAGG